CCAGCCTCCTTCCTCTGGCTGACAGAGACTTCCAGATGCAGCAAAAGACCTCCCCTTCCCCCTCAGACAGCATATCTGGGCCAGCCGGTGGCACGGTGGTTAAGGCAGCCGGATCCCACATGGCTGACGGCGCAGTTCTAGTCCCCAGCCTGGCACACTGAGAAACACGATGGGTGCGTGTGCTCCGAATCCTGACAGGGACTTCAGCGCGGCCATGCCCCATGAGAGGTGCTTTCCCACTCCCCGCGCCCCCACCCCTCTCTTTCCGGCAAATTTTTTCAAAAGGAGGCTAACGCCTCTCACTAAGCACCTTGACCTGGCCTTGAACAGCCCCTCCACACCCCTGCCCATGATCTGCCTTGCCCACCAGCACCACTGACAAGTCCCTAGGGCCACCGTCCCTGGGCCACGTTTGACACGGCACTGTGGCCTTCTTGGTTTCTCTCTTGTGGTTTCGTGGCCCCGTATTAATTGGGTTCTCTGGTCCAGCTGTCTGGACATCTCATCTCCTTTACTCCCAGTCCAGGGTGGCCGCCAGGATCCTGCACTCACCGCCCACTCCTCCACTGCCTCCGGGCTCCGTCACCTCTGTCTGCTTCCCACTTGCACCTGCCAAGCCCCGAACTCGGTGTGCCCCGGCAGGCTCCGTCCTCCCCTCCTACACGTCTCCTCTGCCTTCACTGCGACTACCGATGGCGGCTCCCTCCTGCACTGCTCAGTGCCACCTCAGACGGCTGCCACCCCGGCCCTCCTCCTTTGCACTGTCCCACGCTCTACTGCCTTGCCTTTGCCTGGGGTTAGGACGCAGGCCTACTGCGTGGCAGTGGTTCCTGGCTGGCCTGTCCTCAGAGAGGGATCGGCAGGACCTCCCCATGGGGTGCTGTGAAGAGGCAGCCAGGGTCCAGGGCTCAGGGCAAGCAGGAAGCCCACGTCCCCTCTGGTTAGGACACCAGTTCTGCAGGGGCTGGGTGACACTTCTCCGCACGCCCCTTTCTCCACTGCACACCTTCTGGCATGGCGGTCGAACTTCTCACGTCCCTTCAGAGATACAGAGACACACGCGTGCGTGCCCGTGCACATGCACACGAATCGCGTCTCAGCTCTGCTGTCCCGTGGGAGGGACTGTGGCTGGCGGCCCACCCCGCTCTACGTGAAACACTCATGGCGCGAGGACGCGGACAGAGCCAGCCAGCTTGCATGCGCTGTGCCTCGCTCTTCCAGGAGAGCATCTTCTGTCCCCTGCCTCCCCTTCCTACCCAGTCCTGCCCTCCTTGGCCAGCCTGCAGGGTGCCTCAGCCTCCCGGGAATGTGGGGCTCCCCAACTCTGCCCTTGGCCGTGGGCGCCCTCTGCCAGGAGGGCCTCTTCTCAGCTCCCCTTCCGACAGCCTGGGCCAGGCCGCCCAACCAAGCTCGGGGAAACGCTGCCTGGTGACCACACGGTCCTCGTCTCCCTTGGAGATGGCAAGGGCCCTGAGGTTGTCTGGGTGGCAGGAACGTCCTGTCAGACTATCCCATTTTGGAAAGAAGGGGGTCACAGCAGCCCTCTGTGTCCCTATGGAACAGCACTGGTCCTTTACGGAACCCACCATGCATTTCGCTCTCCTTCCACGGGACCAGAAAGGTCACGTCCGTCAGACTCCTGTTGTCCCTGTGCACACCTCACACACAGTGCCTGTCTGCAAGAGACGGGGTCGCGGGCTGTCCCTTCCTCCTCCGCGTCCCCAGCATGCTGGCTTGTTCTCCCACACAGGTGGTGAGCAACACATGGAAGCAACGTGAGGCCCAGGGCCGGGCAGGCAGGGAGCTGCTTCTAGGGCAGGGGGACCCGTTGGCAGGACACTCGCTGGAGTCCTCTCAGATCAGGCCAGCAAGGCTAGGTCTTCACAGACGTGACAGCGGCTGCACCCCAGGACGGGAGCGAGGACGAGGTGGCGGTGACAGGAGCACACGCACAGGCATCACGCCTGTTGCCACTGCATGGGCTGCGGGTCACGCCGAGGGCAGGCCACCGCGTCTCAGGCAGCGCCGTGGCTGCAGATTCTCAACCCCACTCGAGCAGCGACACCACTGTGTGCGGGTCCACGGCATTTGGGGACAGACAACCTTGCTTTGCAGCTCCATGATCTGTTGAGTGATTCTCTGAGCCTCAGTTTCCTCATCTGCAAAATTGGGTAGCAATACCGCCCCTTCCTTGGGAGGTGGGATTCATGGGGCAAAGTCCTCGCGCCGTGGTGGCCACATTCTCACTATTGGGACGGACACACCATTGTCCCCAGCTCATACGAGGGAACTGCGTCACACAGAGCTTCACTCATGAGACAAAATCCGTCGGTGCGAGATCTGGGCTCCGAAGCCACAGCCTCCGAAGGCCTCGCTCTCCCCAGTGCGCTGCCGGCCCGCCCTCGGGGAATCCACTCCACTGTCCCCGGCTATTAATTCCTACTGAATGCAATTTTATTGAAGGTGAATGAGCTGACTGAATACAGATGACCCCAGTGGACTCCGCTCGGTATTCAGTGTCCGCTGCTGATGGGAAAGCCAGGAAAGGACCGGCATTCCAGCCGCCACCAGCCTGACCAGAAAGCATCTCCAAATTCTTCAGCCCCTCTATGCCCTGAGCCCCCGTCCCCGGGCCTCCTGGCCAAGCCTGCACACACCCACTGGTCCCTCCGCATGGAATGGCACCTACTCTCATGTCTCCCAGCCTCTACCTCAGAAGGCCTCCTCTAAGAAGGGCCTCCTCCTCAGAAACGCCCCCTCAGATGGCTCAATTTTCAGTGTCCCTGTGCCACCTTGTCCTCAGCTGTGTACCGGAACTCTGCACCTAGTATCTGGGAACTTATTTGTCATGCATCTCTGCCCCTCCGGACCGGGACCTCCTTCAGCAGAGGGAGCCGGCGTTCACTCCCGTGTTCCCAGGGCCTCGCTAAAGTGTCAGAGGGCACAGTCGGGTGAGATACCGCTGAGTCGGCACAGCCGCCCTGCCCGCCCTTTCTATTTCGGTTTGATGTGTACCACACGCGGTGCTTCCTCGCCTCCCTCAGATGACACACTGCAAGCTACCAAACTCCTGCCGGCTGCAGCCCGGCCCGTAGCCATGCACCATCCGCTCAGAATCCGCATGGACGGGACCCCTTGCCCTGCACTCCGAAGGCAAAGAAGAGTGACCCACACTTCCCAGCCCAGCACACAGGATGCAGATGGCGTCGGGAAACAGATGGAAAGCCAGACGGAAGAAAACAGCGAGGAAGCCCCGGGCGAGCAGGAGCGCCGAGCCCAGGCACAAGGCAGGCCACAGCCCTGACGAGCACACCTCGCCCTGTCCCCTAACGGCGACCTCCAGGCTCGGCCCCGGAGAGGATCTGTGCCTGGTGTGCCACGCACTGCCCCCCACAGCGGAGCCCCAGCGCTGACGGCCTCACTTTCCACCTCCAGCACCACTCCCCGTGCAGTGCGGCCCTGCCCTGCCTGCCCGAGAGACGGCACCCACAGAGGGAGACAGCCAGCCCAGCTGTCGGAGGGAGACCTGGACCCACCCCTGCCCTCGAAGACCCTTGATGAGCAGCTGCCCTGGGGAGAGACAGCCAGCCCTGCCCCCCACCCCAGCTCATGCCCACTGGGGCAGGGTCTAGAGAAGGTCTGAGTGCAAATGCCCATGGAGAGGGAGTACTTGTCCCCAACTCGGGTGCAGGTGACTGACTCCAGCTCTGCCTGAGGATGAGCAGGGGAGGGAGGCGATAGCTACTGAGAAGAAGGTCGCCCTCCGGAAGCCAGGGGTGCGAAGCAGGTAAGTGGTGCAGACCTGTGCAGCCCGCACCCTGACAGGAGCCTGGTGTTGGATTGGATGGCCCAGGGCTCCGTTTCGGCGCCTCCACCTACGAGCTGGAGGTCTGGGCACAAGGCTCCCCTGGCTGGGCCTTGCAGCCCTCGTCTGGACAGCGGGAAGGGTGTCGCATGCCCACCGGCAAGCCTGTGGATGCGCTGGGCTCGAGCCCATGGCTGCACCCCCAGCCCCTCTCCAGTTCTGGACTCGCTGAGCCACACAAGGACTCCTGACCTCCCAGATCCGGGCTGGGATCCGGCTGCAGGGGCTGGCACCCCACTCTGCTTCACTGAGAGTAAGTTGAGTGCAGGCTAAGGGCTCGTGGCAGCCCCAGGGCTGGGGTGGGGTCTGCCTCCCTGTTCCCTCTGGAGGGCCCCCTAGTCTCCACCTGGCCAGCTCGGGCAGCTGTGACATTCACAGACAGACGTGGTCCATGCTTGGGCATTCCACCCCTGCCTCCAGGAGGAGTTAAGGCTGAGCCTGGTCCCCACTGTCCCCTTCTCTGCTAGGACATGGGGTCCTCTCTCCACCGACAAAAGGTGGAGTGTCTGAGGTTCCTGCTTCCTCCCTCCCTCCCCTGGGCGGGGGCGTTGGTGAGCAGGGCCCCAGGAACAGTCTGGGGGCCTCTCAAAGTACCTCAGCCCCCTCCAGGCCTGGACAGGGGGTGTTTACCCCTGGGGATGAGGACCCCTCACCTGCCGGCTGCTCATTCCCACAGAGCGAGTCTGCAGCTGGGCAGGCTCTGGGCGGTGATGCCAGGGGCCCTCTGCTGCCGCCCCCAGCCAGCCAGTCGGCAGGGACTGGGGGTGCTCCGACCTAGGCAAGGCAAAGCGCAGGGCGACCCCCCTCCTGGACAGCAGGCTAGAGGCTCAGCATGAACCCAGGACAGGGGAGTGGGGCTGCGGGCAGCTGCTGCTGGCTGCGCCGGGCTGCCCTGG